TATATATATATATATATATATATATATATATAAATTCCCTTCTCACCCTCCGCTGGTGGGCTCTTTCATCCTCTGAGCCCTGGGAGCTTGAGGGTTCTGCGCAGTATCTTGGCTGCGCCTAGAACTGCACATTTCTGGACTGAGATGTCTGATGTTGTTCCTGGGATCTGTTTGAGCCGCTGCTCCAGTTTGGGGGTGACTGCCCCTAGGGCCCCGATGACCACAGGCACCACTGTGGTCTTCACTTTTCAGGCCTTCTCCAGTTCCTCTCTGAGGCCCTGGTATTTCTCCAGTTTCTTGTGCTCCTTTTTCCTGATGTTGTGGTCACTTGGTATTGCTACATCCACCACAACTGCTTTCCTCTGTTGTTTATCCACCACCACAATGTCCGGTTGGTTCGCCATTACCAGCACATTTCTCTTCCATTGCCTTCATATATATATATATATATATTGTTATACCCCTCAGTCAGAAAAACACTTGTCCATCAGCTTCAAGACTGCAGATTTAACTCTGGAGGTAGAAGGAGGGTGGGGGGAGGTAGAAGGAAGGGTTACCGTTTCGCTAGAGTGCGGGGGGAGGGGGGAGGGGGGCAGTAGAAGGAGGGTCGGGGGGCTAATGGGCCATCAATGACTTAGGACTGTGACTCCCCAGTGCCTCAACACAAGATTGTCTATCAGATGTTGTCAAAGTGTGCCGTTTGGAGATGCCGAATGGAAACTCTGGATGGAACACTTGAACATCTGTACATCCTCATAAATAAATATGTCCAAAATGACATTTATTTTTTGTGCTATTTTGCGAGTATATTTCATTAAGTAACAAACAAATGGCTTCTACCGCAATAATTATCCATCCATCCATCCATTTTCTGAACACCCTTGTCCCTCAGTGGGGTCGGGAGGGGTGCTGGTGCCTATCTCCAGTTAACGTTCCGGGCGAGAGGCGGGGTACATCCTGGACAGGTCGCCAGTCTGTCGCAGGGCCGCGATAATTATGTGAAATTAAATTAATATTTTTTTTTTAAAGTTTTGTACGCTCTGGCATCTTCCTTCGAGTCCCAGAGGCTTTTCCTGTATCAAATATGCTATTTATTTAGTGGAAATATTGATGCGATGAAACTCTCTCCAAAATAATAACCTTTTTCAACTTTTAAAGCTCCACTGTTGAAAATGAGAAACTGACATTCACAAATGACATTGAAATAAATTCTAGTCCAACTTCTGGTTTGTGGCGATTCGTCTGGATCCTGTTGGGAGGAAAAATATCCCAACTTCACAAGATGTGGCTTTAACCTAACTCCTATGTGGCTTTAACCTAACTCCTTTCAGTCTGAAGTTTCTCATATTGAGGTCATCAAACCAAAGTTCAGATCTACCATAACTGACTGACACAGGTGATCGCCACCAGGTCAAAAGTACAGCTTTTTGGCGCAGCACATTCATTAATGTTTCCATCATGTATGTTTTCAGATGCTAAGCTGTCACAGCAGACCATCCTGCAGGCCTCTGGTCTCAGTGTTTCCCTTCAGACTCCCTGGCCTGGTCTCTGGTCATCCTGAAGCTTCAGGATGACCAGAGACCTTCACCTTTCTGGAGCAAGAACACCCGGCCAAATGCATTGGTGACACATTCATTTAAAAAAATGTGGCTGTTCTTATAGCATTGATATGCAAGAACCATCTGTATTTTACTGTTTTGAATAAATAAAATATGTTTGATTATTATGAAAGCTGTGTTCCTTCTAATCTGTGTAGTTGTAATTGAATCAAATCTCATGTTTTCACATCCCAGAGACAATAAAATGGATCGTTTGTTTGTGGCTTAAAACAAAGTAATCTTAATACAACAAAGCTACAAAAATAGAATACAGATTGAAAGTTTTGGACCCGTTTTATTTTTTGGTTTCATTACACTGAAGATTCTTCAACATGAAGCTAAACAGTGAGTGGAGTACCTTGTATGTACTAGAAATGAACAAACATGACATATTGGGTTATTAATAGTAACCATAACAGTTATTTTACACAGCTTGGTTTATTAAATAATGATTGTGTTCACTTACGGACGCCTTCAATTGGAAATCTGCAATCTGAAGTGTCAGTGAAATAGTTTAGCCAGTCAGTCCTCAGGTCGGTCTGCCCTGCATGTTTCAGGTGTTTCCTTCTGTCACACCTGGCCTCAATAAATGTTTGATTAATGGATGAGCTAATGCTATCATTTGTATCAGGTGTTCTGGAACAAACACTTTAAAATGTAAAATGTTAATGTCCTGTATAACAGTGTAATTAATATAGACAAATGTTTTCATCTCATTGTGTCATTTTCACTCTGTGTCTGAAGTTAAACACATTTCTGGATGTTCTGTGTTTCAGTTAAATTGAAGTTAGCAGGTTTTTAATCAGGGCCACAACACCCTGTATGGGTGTTGGGTTTAAGAAAAGAAGCTGCTCTATTTGAGTCCCAGCATTCATTTTTCCTCTGATGTTTGGGTGAACTCTTCTCTGCGGAGGTCGGCCATCTCTCTGGTTCTTCCTGAAGGAGACCCATCAGGAGTTCTGGTGCTGCTCCCAGTGCAGACGGTTCTCCTCACTGTTCGCCGTGTCAGCTGTGGTCCCTCTCTCAGACAAAATCTCCACAGTCATTCTTTTCCTTAACCCTTGAATAAACATAATAACAGAATACGTTCTGGTTGTTATTCCTGATTGGTTTGTTATTTGAAACGGTGTTTAATATCAAACTAAGATTAATTTATTTCCTTAACAGTTCCTTCTCCTGTTCCCTCAGGAGGGCAGAGTCTAGGAGTGACTAATTACATTTACTCAAATATAGTTGAGTAACTTTTTGAAACACAAATGAACTTTTAGGAATACTCTTACTGTGCTGAACTTTTTACTTTTACTCAAGTCATTTTATTATGAAGCATCACTATTCTTATTTGAACAAAATTTTCATTTTGTCTTTAAAATACTAAAATTTCCACTGAACTTCATATTTTGGGCCCTCTAATTGTGTAATTTTTTTTAGATATTAAATAATTGATAACTTGATCAGTTACTCAGTACTTGTATGCACTTTTTACCAAATACTTCTTTACTCTTACTTGTATAATTTCTTATACAGCTACTTTTTACTTTTACTTGAGTAAAAGCATGTTGAAGTGCTACTGCTATTTCTGGAGTACAAATTGTTGGCCCTCTTCCCACCTCTAAGGAACAGTAACCAAACGTTGACACACATATGTTGTCCAAAAACAGGGAAACTAAGGTGAGCAAGTTATACATCCACAAAGAACTACTTAAATTAATAGTCATATTTACTTTATATGCATACAACATGTATGCATGTGGGCCACACTTGGCACACTTCAGGGATGCAACCAAGAGAGGCAAAGATTGTAGGGCGAGTTCAGCTTTTATCCATTCTGCATTCTGTACCCTCACTAAACGTCACTGTATTCAGGTTGTCTGTTTACAAAGGTAAAATAACGGCGACCGACTCTAAACCACTCTTACCTTTTTACTCCGAGTCTCTCTTTGTCATTTAATCAACCTGTTGCCATGGCAACCGCCTGCACCCCACAAACCCAGCAGAGATTAGTTAAAAACATAACATTCAGTCCGTTAAGATATTAGGTTTTCAGGCTTCATATTTATATCTTGGTTAACAAGCCTCTCCTCTCATGAACACAGTGGTGGCTCATTAGCCAATTTAAACTTCTGCTCTGCTCGTCAGTTGGTCTTTGAGTCCCTTTTTATTTTCGTAATGGAACCGAAATGCATAGAAAGGCGCAACACCTTGTTGAAACAATAATTACTGAAATTATTAATTTTGTTGGGCCATTAATTTGAACACGTTTTGTTGATTTTATCCTTAAGATGTATTTGATCAGAGGACAAGCTGGTCTCAACATCCTGGCGGCGTTCAGTTTGTCACCTAATGCCGAGATCAACTCAAAACCTTCCGCAATCGTAATTGAGCACCTATTGATTAAATATAACTGTAGTTGGAAAACAAGCATCAGCTAACGCTAACGCTAACCATGCAACGTCTGGGCAACCGGAGGACTCCTGGACGGACAGCAGCGGTGCATGTCTGAAAGATGGCCTCCGATGCAGATCTCCAGGGCTTGCCACTCTCATTCTCTCAGCTCAACAAAAACAACTCTTTCTTCGATGCTCCATAGAGCTGCCTCTGGATATTGCAGTTCACTTACGATGTACAGTAAAGTCTGCTCCTTATAGTTGGATCACAGCTGGTAGCTACAAAGGCGTCCCGAACCTTCAATCGTAAGCCAACTTCAGCGGCCGCTTCGTCCAAACTATAAAAACTCCCGACGGTGAAGCTCTGAGTCCATGAGAGCCGCCAGCTGAAACACGTTCTGTCTGAACGGCCACACGAAAAGTAAAGTCGTGTGGCCACGACTTTACTGGTTTGGGAACCGAAGAGTTTAAAATGTGATTAAATCTTGTGGTAATATTTCTGAGTTGTAACATCTGTGTCAAATGCTGAAAATCTAGTTCTTGGATCTGTGCGTAAAGTTGAACTGTGACATCTGAAGCAGCTTCTTTTAATTTCTCACTTTAAACGGCTTGTTTAAAGTGAGAAATTACTTTAAACTTTAAAATATATTATAAATAAATAAATATATTTATAAATATTTATTTATAAATAAATGTATTTATTTAATTTTAGCTGAAATGGCTCTCCATATAGTTAAAGTATTTTTGACTGAAAAAATGAAAAATTTAGCTTGTTTTCTTCATAAAGAGACAAGCTTTTGCATGTACTCCAAATTGTTCAAGAACATCAGCCGATTTAATTTGGGTATGCCTTTTCAGCCGTGTTTGGTAATTTTGGTCCCGCCAGGTAAGGGGTTAATTGCTTTGGTCAGCCTGTCTACGCTGTAAGAAAAAACCCCCCCAAAAAAACAAACATAGATTTTACGATAAAACTCTGGCAGCTGGGGTTGCCGAAATTCC